ATTTTTTAAAGATCGCAGACTGTAGGAAGCCGATTCAAACTCATTTTACATTTGATGCGCTAACTTCCTGTGAAAATAAGTGGGTAAACTCGAAAACACAAGAGACTCATGGGAAATTCCATGATACACCACGTGAATCTAGTGGGTTTTCATTATTTCTTTATTTTTTCACATAATATGAGAAGGCCCTGTAGCAACTCCAAATTGTATCTGTTTGGATTTAGCTTGGGCTCCAATGGGAACAAGATTGAAAGAAGTGTATTGGGTTAATTTTTTTTCAACTATCAAAATGACCCATTACTTAAATTGAAAATTTAATGATCGACTGGCTCCTTGATAGTCATATTCCTTATCTAATGGGTGATTAAAAACCCTTCAGTGAAAATTAAAAAATAATAATGAAAAAAAAAATAAGCGAATGCTCTTTGCATTCTAGCTCTGGTGGAACACATGGACTCGAACGGAGATGGATTTTCCAGCCGAGGTGAAGTGGAAAGCTTTGGTTTGAAGTGGAAGGGTGACGTAGAAGATTTCGATCTGAACGGTAAGAGATCTTTTGCTATAATGAAGATCTTAGAATGAGCGTATATGAGGATAACTGAAAAAGATTTAGCTTCTCGGAATAATGTCCGTAGGTTAGGGAATTCAATCTCGCAGAGCGATTCTTTTTTTTTAAGGTGAAGAAGATTTTTCTGTTATCGATCGCCTTAAAAAATAATGAAGCTGACGTTAAAAAACTAGCTAAACAGGTATATACTGTCCCTAAATGCTCCTTTGTAGTATTTTGTGTGGAAAATGGGTATAACATTTTGGCCGTTTTTTCTCAAATTGGAACTGATTTTGAAGGAAACCAGATTATACAAATCCTTTAAAGTTCGAAACGAAATATCGGAGAAGGAGAGGTAATGTGATATAATATATTCTTTCAGCTAGCTTAACTCCTTGATGATTTTAACGAGTGCTTTACGCTGACCCCAATAGAAAGCTTTATTATTCTACAAAAAATGTATTGTTGATTCACAAAAAGAGAAAAATCCTGACAAGCTAGGTCTGAAAACGAGTGTAGTTTATTGATGCAAAGACTGGAAAATGGCATGTATAGACTGATAGAGTAAGTATATGGTAATGTGGGTAGAAACTGCCTTTAAGAATTCCTAATAGTACTCCTTCCTCCTTCATATTCAGTTTTTAATCTGCAGTTCGCATATATAATAATAATAATCAACTTTGTTTAACAAGAATTACACAAAACAGTAAATACACTGAAGAACCAGTGGTCCTCGAATATGACTTTCATATATTCACGGTCATTGCTCTATCACTTCACGGGTTTATTATTAACTATTTGAACACTGGTTTCACAGAGTTCAAGGGTTCAAATTCCGTACAGGCCTGAATTATTGCGAAGATCGCTTTCATATTTATCACTTTCACTGTTTAACTGTTCAAACCTGCGCTGCTGTAGAGAGAAAAAGATAACTTTGTTCATTAAAATTTGACCATTGGGCATGTTACATGAAAAGCTCAGAAATAACTATGATACTTTTCTTCACAGCTGACGGCAAACTCAGTTCTGAGGAGTCTAAAATCATGACTTACAAAAGTATATATGATATCAAGAAAATCTTGTGTCATTTCAAAGCCACTGATACGAACCATGATTAAATTGGTGACGGCTGGATAGCTGAAAAACGATTTGAAGACTTCAAATATGACATCACTCCAAACGGCCTAGCTGAGTTTATTAAGGAGGTAGACATTGATGTGGTGGATGATAAATTCAGTTACCACGGTAGGGAATTTATGATGTTAATATCATAAATGGGGAGATAACAGAGCTCTGCTGTGGCTGAGTGGAACAATATCTGTGGGAAGAGTTCATACTTCTTATTGCTCGTTGTGAATCAAACCATACATTGCTAGAGGCGGAAAACACTTGTACCTTTTAACTCACATGATCTGATTGTTAATTCTCCCTTCTAGCTGCTACACATTTCCTTGTAAATCAGTCACGAGAATTTGGTGTTAGATCATTACTTCTAACGTCTACCTGATAAGTTTAAGTATTCTCATTACCTGTTTGCTGGATGATGTGTGGATTTTACAGTGAGAAGTTACAGGTTAATCACTTAAGGGAGTTGAAGACCCGCAAATTAAACAAAAAGAGACGGGGGGGGGGGGGGGGGGAAGAGGGATAAGGATATGAAGGAGTGAAACGTCCAGTAGATGATAATCTTGAAAGTTTTTTATACTCAGACCGTGACACATCGCATAAAACTGACGCTGTAATCGTGACCTAGAGATTCAAGGATGAATTTAACTACAATGCGAATATAATATAAGATTTTTAGTTTTGAGCGACTACCAAGGAAAACGATGTTGTGAAACCCCACTGAGCTCTTCTCGAGAAACAAAGGTTGCAAAGCAAAGGTTTGCGTTTCGGTAGTTTGTTGTTACCACTGCCATACGTTTGCAAATGTCGCCTGCTGCTCCTTATTTTGATCGCTAAATTGAGGTAGGTTCACCCACTATTTCACAAACTGGCGGAAAGTATTCTCATCGTTTAGGAATCTTGTGGTCTCATATATATGACGGCTACGGCAGTCCTGGGGGAAAATTAAACGAAACTTTTTCCTGTCGGCCATTTATCTTTGCCTCCATTACTAACTCTTTGATTGATTATCTTTATACGTAAGTAATAATACTTTCTTTTTTTATCTTTTAGAGTTCAGCATGGCAATGTTTGGTGTTTAATATCCAGATTCTTGTGTGAACCTCGGTAGAAGCATCAAGTCA